CTTGCCCCATAGTCCTCACTCTGGGACACTGACTGGCTTGGCTCAGCCCTCCTCGATGGCTCCAGTGGTGAGATTCCCCAGACCACAAGCTCCCAGGTCCCTCCCATCTCATCCTTATAAAGCTCTGTCCAGTCTGCCTGTCCTCTTGTGGCCACTACTTTGCTTCTGGTGACCTAGGACCCTGCCACCTTTTGTACCCCAGTCTCCTGCCGGGTGGTCCTTGCAGCTATTTTAAAAAAAATATTTTTATTGATTTCAGAGAGGAAGGGAGAGGGAATCATTGATCGGCTGCTTCCTGTAGGCCCCCCACTGGGAATGGAGCTTGAAACCCCGGGCATGTGCCCTGACCAGGAATTGAACCATGACCTCCTGGTTCATAGGTCAACTCTCAACCACTGAGTTATGGCAGCCAGGTATTGCATTTATTTCTAGTCAGGTGTGTTGGATAGCCTAGTCCTGAGAAATCAGACACCACCGATTTCGGCACATTCCTCTTCCCTGGAGTTAAACAGAAACCACTGACATGGATGGGGTAGGGGACCTTTAAAAATCCTAAATTTCACTCTCTGTTTGACTCATCTATATCATAACTTATGGTGGAAATCATGACATATGTTTCTGGGTGAGTCGTTTAGTCATTCTATGGGGTGTCTTCAAACTCTGTATGTCCTTCCCTCATTATCGGGAAGTTGAGGTTCGCAAGTGCCTGGCACGTGTCCCCATAAGGCATTGACATTTCATTCTCAATCCCAGGCATACTGTCCTCCTTTTCTAAAGCCAAGAGTTTCCTCCAAAGTACATGTGCTGGGCTTTCAGCGCCGGGAGGAGATCTGGAACGGGAGCGCATTAAACATGGAAAGGAGTGTTTTAGAGATCGTCAGGTCCAACCCATGGGCGACGCAATTGGAAAAACTGATGTTTATGCCGAGAAGAGAATTTACACCAGGCTGGTCTCTTCCCCTTATCAACAACCTCCACTGCCCCAGAGACCCCGAGGTCCACCACACACAGACACGATTCCTTCTACAACAGCCCCGGTGCTGTGTTCGCCTTCTCTGTGTCCTTTGTCCAAGCAGTCTCATTCTCAACAGTATCCCTGATTTCCACCAATGGATGATGACTTCACATTCATTTATCCAGCTCTGACCTCCCATTGAACTCTGGTTCCCTCACTGGACAGCCCCACCCAGACGCTCTGTGGATGTTCCAAACCAACATGGGCAAAGCTACGGTCTATTCCCCAACACTCTCCACCAGCAGCCCTGTCCCCCATCCTCTTCAGCGCCTCCCACCCAGGCAAATGTGACCCAGGGACCCCTGCTTGAAATCTCTCAGTTCTTCTCTAGCATCTAAGGATGCACTCCTTGCCTTTCAGTCAGGATGCTGCCTGGATGTTTCTTTCTGTATTCTCTGCCTTTGGTTAGTGGGGTCACCACCCACCTTGTGCACAAGCCAGAAGTGTGGAACACCCCACCTCTCTTTCTAGGATATGAAATCTGACCTTCCTTAACTGCTGTATCTTAAAGGGACTGTGACTGTGGCTTCTACCTGCCTCCTAAGCCAGAAGTGTGGAACACCCTACCTCTCTTTCTAGGATATGAAATCTGCTGTATCTTAAAGGGACTGTGACTGTGGCTTCTACCTGCCTCTAGCCTCACTTGCAACACTGAGGGACTGCCCAGAAACAGCCCCCAGAGACCTATCTAAAATACAGATGTGAGCCAGGCCCGAAATCTTTCCATTCTTCCCTAACATCTAAGGTGCACTCCTTGCCTTTCAGCCAGGGTGCTTCTCACTTGCAACACTGAGGAACTGCCCCCAGAGACCTATCTAAAATACAAATGTGAGCCAGGCCCGAAATCTTTCCATTCTTCCCTAGCATCTAAGGTGCACTCCTTGCCTTTCAGCCAGGGTGCTACCTGGATGTTTCTGTCTTCTGCACTCACACTCCAGTTAGAGGTACCTTCCTGCCTTGGCATCCCTGCTTCCTCTGCCTAGAACCCTCAATTTCATTTTCCTCCTGTGCTCCCCAAACACGTCCTACAAACTCCACTGGACACCATTAACCTCCAGTTTTCCCCTCCTCTTCCTGACCATCTTTCCAAATTTTATTTCTAAAAATGTTCATGCTCCAATGTGGCTGTGTATCACATGTG